TCTCTTCTCTTTGGACTCAGATAGCGTACTGTCCACTAGTGATGTCATTCTATTCTCCAAGTCAATGATAAAAATAGAAGACAAAATAGTTGAAAGTAGAGTGGTGTCCTGATTCAGAGACTTCAAACTGAAGAAACTACCATCAATAACTTCAGCTGCAAACTTAGCAACCACGATCACATCTACAGAACTGCTCAAATCAAAATCTATAGCCTCGACAATAAGAGACGAACATGTATCATTGACTGAACATAATGGTGACTGTTTGATAAAAGATAGCAGTTTTTCGAGGATCCCCCTATATATCAAGACCAACGAGCTTCTTGACACAAAAGAAATACTGCTGTCTTGGGTTGAACCACCCAGAACTGAACTGCATACAAAAAATATAGAATAAGAACTGGGAACAAGCAAACAAGCAACATAAAAGACTTGACTGAGAAATATAAATGCAAAATATTGGATGCGAGCCTGAAATCCAGTGATATGAATATGCGCTTTGTTTGATACTGTTTATAGATATATTGACTAACTTACCACAGGAACTGAGCACCAGAGGTTGTAGTCGCTGAGGAGGAATGGACCAGACTTATAGCAGTTGATTCTATGAGTGTATGGTGCCAATGGTCTGGCCGAGAACCTATTCTTTGATGCAACTCCTGCCCAGAACTTCTTTTTGTAATTTCATCCCTTGCCTTCTCTAAAAGCATTTTCATAGCGGCCAGGTTATTGAAGCCCTGATGTTGTTGATTAAATACATAAGAAATGACATCACTCCACTGCTGAGTGAAACATTCATCATCGAGCAATGAAAATAGGAGATCTTGTCTAGCTGCAGTCGAAGAGTCATATCCATCCATACACCAAGGAATAAAAATTTCTTGAAAAACTTTAATAAGCTTCTCTGGGCTCATATTCTTCCCTTTTTCAACAGAGAGAAGGGTAGAAGTCTCTATATCATCAATTAGTACTGGAACTATCTTTCTTGGTCCAAACACTGATACTGAAACTGACAAAAGTTTCACACCTTCGATCAATTCCTGAAAAGAGAAATACAGCCACACGAGTTAATCAAGTAAAAACATCATATGATCTACCATGACAAAACAGGGGTAACAAAACGTGGACAATAACTTACAGATGATCTTATCCACGGGAAAGCCTTGGACAAAAGTGGCCCCATAAATTGATCCAAGGGCCAACTCTCACCTTCCAAAACTGAACATCTCTCCAATAATAAGAGAAAATCAATCATTTTTCTCATGCTTCCCGTAACTATCTCTAAATTTCCCTGCTGAAGCATGTTCAAGAAGCTCTCTTGAACAGATATACAGAAAAAAGACAGCAGGTTCTGTTCGAGCAAATTAATCCCTGAAAGAATTTCTAAGATGCATCTTCCTAGCTCTTGCAGATAACTAGCTGAATTACCCATGCCAAGATTTTCAGTTGACTTCCTCTGAATAGGTGGAATGCTGCCCTTAGATAGTTCAAAGAAGTCCGCCCATAGAATCTTCACGAGGACTTTATCAATTAGATCAACCTGGAGATCATGAATAGAATTGGGACCATCGCAATACCTTGAAGCATTATGTAATCCCCAGAGGAAACATTCAGTGGTTGCCCGAAGAAGTGATAATTGATCCGTACTTGAAGATTCACACATACTCCTCCCAGCCAATAAGTTTTTGAAAAAATTCACAAAGAACTTATCAGCTTCTACAGATTGTGTTGGCATAACTTCCAGGAACAATATCAGTGCAGGATAAGAAACCCGTGAGGATCCATAGCACCCGTTCCTAAGAAACTGCCATAAATGACTTAGAACAGATTTATGAACATTTAAGTAGACCCAACTCTGAGGAAATTTTCTAGAGAACAGCAAGACAGCCTCCCACATTGATGAGTGGCAGGTTGGATTATTTTCTCGAAAAACGCCAAGCAGAGCTGGTGCAAGACATCGGACGTCTCCTTCGCCAAAGACTTCAGGAACATTTTTAATGAAGCTGCTTAACAAAGAATAAGTCGCTGACCGAATACTAGGGCTTTCAGATTTTAGAAAGTTCAGAAAGCATTTATGGGAAGAGAACAACTTCTCAGCTGAGGAGGATGCTACTGCCCTAGCCTTCGATGCAAGTTTTGATTCAGAATTAATGTTTGCAGAGCCAACTTTATCAGGTTCGCGGAGCAAAATATCTAGAAGTGTAGCCAACCCCACCAGAGATGACGATATCATCTGAAAACAACAGAAAATAAGACATTGTAAAAGAAAACCCAAAGAAGGAAAAATTTCACCATAGCATGAAGAATCACCGAGATGAAGTACCTGCTGGTACATTTCTTCTAATTCATCTGATGCAAGTGCTTTATCAGATAAATTTTGAGGTGTAAGTTTGAGATTTTCCTCCAGATAAGCAAAAATCTCAGCTGAACATAGAATCAAGGCGTGCAATCTCTTTTCCTGGGTAGGGAATGCTGCCTGTTTGAACATTAGACAGCTAATTTAAATTCTGAATATTGATGCTATAACAAGGTGCCCCCTGAGCAAAACTAGAAGGTTACTGGTCTAATAAAACGACAATAGAGTTTATACTAGAAAGTGGGGCATTTAAACATAAAGTAAAAATAACCTCCACCAAGAAAACTGAATTACGAAACGAGGAGCCAACCTGGAAAGACGACTTTGCTGCTTGAGAAACTTCAGATGCCAAATCAAATTGTGAAAACCACCAGGGCCCCATTATAGACTTTAGATGAGGAGCTAAATCTCTCCTAAGTAACACGTAAGAAACAAAGAATTAATACAGAATACAAAATAATAGTGGGAGAAAGCATAAAATAGAAGTATCGCATGCATGCTAAGACAAGCTTCTACAGCACTTAGCAAACGAATCATTCCAACAAAATAATGAAGATAATTTTGATATAGATGTCAGGAGAACCTCAAAGCTAAATCATATCACTCATGACACGAGAAAACTACATACATCCAGGTGTATGATACTAAAAAAAAAGAAGTAGATGAGAAACTGCATCACGGCAAGAAAAAGGGCATGCATTAGAAAATTGAGAGTCAAACCCGGCACCAGTGACAACATTAGTCATGACATCATGCGTAGCTCGCCGAACATCTCTATTGTAGTCCAGTATCAGCTTCTTGTACTCAAATGTCTGGAGAAGTATGAAAAATATAGTCAATCAATTGTGGAATAATGAGCAACCAAATGCACCGCAACGTGGGAAAATAGTGATCAACATGCTGCAAGACCAAGACTAACTCGAGCTAATTCTATCAGCGTGAGTGATATTCCAATCCTGATTAACCTATCTTCAACATAAAATTTAATACAACTTCTGAAGCTACAGTTTTCTTCCTTGTTAAAGAAAACATCCATCTAAAGGTTCATGCCTAGTATGTTACAAGGGAAACATTACCCATTGTGGGATTATTGGGAAAAGTTCCTTTCCTTTCTTCTGCTTAACCAGTTCTGACAGGGAAGCAAGAGCTTTAATCTGTGGAAACAAGCAAATCACAATCAAGAAAACTCAGAAAGAAGAGTTCTTGTAGTCGAATGGATAATCATTAAAACCATTACCTTTGTTGTAGGATCCTTCCTTGAAAGCCTTTGCAAGTGCTGGGCAACCTCACTATCCAAATCCTACAATTCATTCACAAAAGATTAGAGATTGGCAAACAAACAAGTAAGCAATATCAAAGGAAGAGGGACAAACATACCAAGAGGGAAGCAGAGTCTTCGTTTGAAAGAGAAGTTTCGAATCTAGAGCTACCGACATAGCCGCCAAAACCTACGGCGGCTGCAGAGCCAGACGGCAACAAAGAAGCTGCCAAGCTGTTCAGAGAAAGCTCAATTCAGTACCGAACCAACGAAGCATAGACTCAAAAAAAGATAAAACTGGAAGAAATTAAACGCCAAGGAGAGATTGAAGGAACGTATTTCACCTGCTGCTGGATGGACGAGCTTTGCTTCTTGCAGCATCTCCTTTGGGTTTGCCCATCTCCTTCTACTCTAGACGGAAAAGCTTCAGAGAGAGAGAGAGAGAGAGAGAGAGGGAGAGAGAGATGGGTCTGGTGATCGGTCTAGCAAAGGAGCAAATAGGTGAAAGTCAAGAGTCGGAGAGGGAAGGCGGTGGCGATTCTGTCGTCGCCGTCGTGGGAGGAGGCAAAGAGAGTATGTCGGGTCGACGAGGATGTATACCCATTAATATTGGGTTCACTTAGTTAAGGCCCAATTATTTATGGCCCAAATAGTACTCCTTAATTTTAAACCTTGGAAAAAATGGAATGATCGTCGCTTTTATAAAAATTCACAAAAGTTCCTCAATATTTTAGTTTCTTTCTTATCAGACCCCGATTTTTATAAATTCGATAATTGTGTTATATGACCACCGTATATTTATGTGTAATTGTGTTATCCCGTGGACAACTATTTATGTTTCTTGTTCAAATTTAAAAATCATGTCTAAATAAATATAAGTTTGATAGTATTTTTGCATCTAGTCTCTATATATATGTCTCATCATTTGTTACAAGTTTGAATTATGATCAGTACTGTCCTATATATTACTCCAAAACTAAAACTAAAATAATAACTTGGAATTATGATTAGTGTATATTATATAGTATATCGCTAATCTTGATGGTGGCTAGGGATATATCAATTTTTTTTTACTAGAACATGGAAGTTTTATTAGAACTGAAGCCATAAATTGCACAGTCCCGACAAAGCTCGAGATGACACTTTAATAATGTATGCGCAAATTAAAACGGGTTATGTAATGATATATGTTTTAATTTTAGGTTTACCAAAATTAGAAAAGACAAGTTGATAAAAGATTGTTTACCAAAAAAAATTGATAAAAGATAAACAAAACATAAGCAAAATATAAGCAAATATAGGAAACAACTGACAAACAAATATAAATTGTAGGTTTAAAACTTTGATGTTGATATACATTATTAAGTGAATTATTAATTAGCAACTAAATTAAAGAATGTAACCATAGAGAATACTCTAAAAAGTCATAACATGCTCCTAAGCAATAACTTATATGGTTTGAGTGATAGTCCATATATACCAGAATTCGATGCATTTCACTGTAAGAATATGTATTTTAGACAGCTAGGTGGACCGGGGTGGAGCATAAAATTTGGAAGAAGAGACTCTACGACGGTGAACTTTGCGGCCGCTAACTCCGGAGTCATCCCTCCTCCGATCACTACCCTCAGCAACCTCATAAACCGTCTCAAAGCCCAAAGATTGTCCACACGTGACATGGTGGCCCTCTCTGGTGCTCACACCATTGGACGAGCCCAATGTGTTACATTTAGAAACTGTATCTACAACGAAAGTAACATCGACAACTCTTCAGCTATCTTAAGACGGAAGAGTTGTCCAGCCGCCAATGGCTCCAAAGGCAACAAGGAAGCCAATCTTGACGTCCGCACTCCTTATAGGTTCGACCACAGCTACTTCATGCAGTTTGTCAACCACAGGGGACTGCTCACATCAGACCAGGTTCTATTCAACGGTGGTTCCACAGACTCGATTGTCATATCCTACAGCTGGAGTGTCCAAGCCTTCTACCGCGACTTCGTAACGGCAATGATAAAAAATGCGCGACATCAGCCCACTCACCGGATCCAATGGGCAGATCCGGCGCCATTGTCGCAGGCCCAACAACTGAAAGAGTCAAAGAGAGTTTGTCGGGTCGACAAGGATATACCCATTATTGGTTTCGCTTAGTTAAGACCCAATTTATGGCCTAATATGAGGACGATCGCGTTTATAAAAATTCACAAAAATTCCTCTATATTTTAGTTTCTTTCTTATCAGACCCCGATTTTTATAAATTCGATCATTTGACTATCAATGACGAACCAAATTCATAATCAACAATAATTTACCTATTGTATCTCCACATAAATTGATTATCGTAACTCCTATATTTTGTCGATAGATTGTAACTGCTGAAGTTCAGAATAGGACTCATGAAAGCCGTGAATTATAAATTAATGTGTAATTTTTGTTTTAGAAGAGACATATACATTCTTACTACATACATGAATAATAGGTGTATAGTGTTTAAATTATTAACATTTGAAATTACATACAATATAATTAATTAAGTAGCAAATTAAGAGAGGCTAAACAGGTTTAGAGTTTGCTGTGATTTCTCTACGAACAATATATACATGTTTTCCAAAGCCATAATATTCCATGTTACCATATCTATAGGCTCAAGTCACTCTAAAGTATCAAACAAAGAAAAAAGTCACTCAATCCTAAAAAGTGGACCTCACAATTGAAAAAGAAAAATAATCAACAAACTCGATCGATCAACCAACAGAATTAAACACAAACACTCCAGCAAAAGTTAATAATCAAACAAAAGTGGACCTCACTTAATCGCAAACAAAAACCCTTCACGTAAATTAAATACAATATGCGTAGTTCAACTTTTCAACAATCCACGTGAAATAGTTTTATCTTATTTGTTTGTTCTTATACATTTGATTGAAGTAATTGGGAGAGAGAATGCAAATTGTAGAGAAGGGGCACTGTAAGTGATAGACAACTCCACCTAATAATAGTTCGTTTGTTAACCTCTCACCATCAGTTTTTTTTTCTTCATTCATGTTTTAGAAATCTATTTTATTTCCCCAACCTTTGAAAATTCAACTTTTTACTTCTTGCAGGCCAAACGCACTGTTTTTCCTCTGTGACTTAGTCAAAAATTCGAGGTGTTTATCTTGGATTTGAGTTGTAGGACGTAGATAATTGATTTTGTCACGAGTGTATGATCAACGATGATATTATTCGTTTTTAGTGGTCTAGTTTCTCATCTGATAAACTTTTCAAACAACATGTCATATAGTTGTTGCAAACGATTAAAATTATAAATTATATTGATTAAAGTCAGAGCTAGCGGAAAAAAATGGTTTACGTTATATATTATTTTCCATTCTCTAACGGTTAAATTAGTGGCGGCCGGTGTTAGACATTGTTTTGTTTTCTAGGGTTGGTAAGTACAATAACAATACATTTCTTGAGACTCTTTTTGTAACTATTAATTTATATGATAAATAATGAAAGGTGATCATCAAGGGCTGGGAATGTCGTGGTTGCATGCATGGAACTTGGAAGGTCAGCTGCTTCTGCCTAACTTATCCTCCCCGGCTCCCCCAATGATATGACCTATCTGCCCTCACATTCTTTCAATCACATCCTTTATGTCCACAATTATTGTATGAAACAAAACTGTTGCGAGATGGAAAACCGAGATTGATCGAGCAGAATCACTAACCGATCGATATCAATCAACATTGTAGAAAGACCTAGCAGACATTGTAGATGTAGGTAGTTTTGAATAAATAGTCGTTTATATTTCTAGCTAATGAATGTATTTTGTAACTTCATATTTACAAGAGTTCAATGCAATTATTTTACAACTCTTTTTGTGTTCTTAGAAATATATCATTAACACATGCTCGTGATGAATTTGATCTTACCCAAAATTGGTCTGATTAATCTGATCCGAAATATCAATTTGTTCCATCCATCACCTTTTTTTTTTTTTTTTGTGCAAATTCCATCCATCACCTTAAGAGAACATATATATCAGAAATCCAACATTGAAAGTAAAATGAGACCAAAGGTAATTTATCAATAGATATAGATAGGGATCAATCCACTTACCAACTATAGGTTTTGAGTAAACCCCAAAAGTTTAAAATGTAAAACTTTGGATCGAATCAGTTTGGGTTCAAATTAGATGGCACATCTATTTTGTTATCATGTGAAGATTCATGTGCATTCAAATCAAAACCAATGTGTGAATTGACTAGTGTCCTTTTTCTTTCTACAACGTAACTTTGAATTATGATCAGTGTCCTATAACTATATTACTCCAAAACTAAAACTAAAACTAAAATAATAACTTTGAATTATGATTAGTGTATATTATATAGTATATCGTTAATCTTGATATGGTGGCTATACATATCAAGTTTAATAATGTGTGCGCAAATTAAAACGTGTTATATAATGATACCTAGCTTTTTTCCGACGAATAATGAACATGAGTTTTAATTTGTATAATAAGATATGCTTGGTAAAAAACAAAAATGGGAAATGTGCTGAAAAAAGGGAAATGTGAACATGCATGAATTTGGTAAAGGTGGCGTAATTAAGGAGTAAGGACCCAGTAATATAGTGGATATTCGAGAAGAAACTTTTTTCCGTGAACAAAAACTACCTACGTGTAAGTAAGTTACCCTCTCTATAAAGCCCTCATCGCTTGAGTCCTTCCACGACTCATAACTCATAGCAATATCTAGTCTAAAAAAAAGAAAAAGCAAAGAGTATTAATGGAGTACAATAAGCAGAGAAGTATGTTAAAGGTTGTGTTGTTGATGATGATAATGATGTTGGCGTCCCAATCCGAGGCTCAGCTGAACCGTGACTTTTACAAGGAAAGCTGTCCCTCATTGTTCCTTGTGGTGAGACGGGTCGTGAAACGGGCTGTGGCCAGAGAGCCTCGCATGGGTGCTTCTCTCCTTCGTTTGTTCTTCCATGATTGTTTTGTCAATGTAAGTTTTTTTTTTTTCAATGCAAAAAGGAAGCATGCTTAGTATGTTCCCATGAATTACTCCTAAAATTTAGTAAATGCTAACAATATGATTTGACAGGGGTGTGACGGATCCTTACTGTTGGATGACACACCATCTTTTTTGGGAGAGAAAACCTCAGGACCCAGCAATAACTCTGTGAGGGGGTTTGAAGTGATCGACAAAATCAAGTTTAAGATTGAGAAAATGTGCCCGGGCATCGTCTCATGCGCAGACATTCTCGCCATCACTGCTCGCGACTCCGTTCTCCTCGTTAGCACCTCTACCCTTTTACTCTTTAGAAACCCTTAGAACTCAGACCAAAGACGAGCATTTTATAGGGTCTTCTCATCAATCTCAATATTAATATGACTAAACAGTTAGGTGGACCGGGGTGGAGCGTGAAACTTGGAAGAAGAGACTCCACAACAGCGAACTTTGCGGCCGCTAACTCTGGGGTCATTCCTTCTCCGATCAGTACCCTCAGCAACCTCATAAACCGTTTCAAAGCCCAAGGATTGTCCACACGTGACATGGTCGCCCTCTCTGGTGCTCACACCTTTGGACGAGCCAAATGTGTCACATTCAGAAACCGTATCTACAACGAAAGTAACATAGACACCTCTTTCGCCATCGCAAGACGGAAGAGCTGTCCCAGCGCCAACGGCTCCGGAGACAACAAGGAAGCCAATCTTGACGTCCGCTCTCCTGACAGGTTTGACCACGGCTACTACAAGCAACTTCTCAGCAACAAAGGTTTGCTTACGTCAGACCAGGTCCTCTTTAACAATGGTCCCACCGACTCGCTCGTCATAGCTTACAGCAACAATCTCAACGCTTTCTACCGCGATTTCGCAAGAGCTATGATTAAGATGGGTGACATCAGCCCCCTCACTGGATCCAAAGGTCAGATCCGCCACAACTGTCGCAGGCCCAATTGAATATCTTTACTATATGAAGCCGATTGAGCCCAATAATCATCTCTTCGTTAACTGTATCTTTTTTATGTGCATCTTCTTCGTCAACTGTTAAAATTAAAATCTACATCTTCTTTATATAAAACTATAAACATGTACAAGGCAATATAGAGCAAATAAATAAAAGTTTGTGGCTATGCAGTTTTCCATTTTACGTTACTGTCTATATTCTCTTCTTACATTGGCTGGTTCAAAAAATTAAAATTTTAAATCAATTGTGAAAGCTGATTTGTTCTAAACTTATGCTACATAAAAAAAAAAAAAAACTTTATGCTACGATTTATTCAAATATTATTCACCCAATCAAGCATTTGAGTAGATAAAATATGGTGGCAAAATGTGAGCCGTTGGATGAAAAGCGAATTGGCGAATGAGAGGACAAGTGTGCAAAGTCATAAGGTAGACAACGACACAGAGGAACAAGTGGCCTCTGCTCTTCTGCCTCAATTACAAAAAATTAGATTTTTTTTTCTCTGATGTGCGTGGACCGCCAATGACGTTTAACTTGGTTTTCATCTCTTCTTCTTTCTTCTTCTCCTCCATTTTTGTTGGTAAAAAAAGAAAAACCCAGAAATAAATAAGGAAGAGAAAGGGCCTTTAGGGGCTGATAGAGAGATCTACACGTCTTTGTACTAGAGATCTCGGATTCATTCCCAGAATCCTCTATCGTCACCGGTGATTGTCTTTTTTTTTTTCTCTTGATCATATATGTTTTGTTTTCTCCGTGCGAATTGTCGATTACATGTTGAAATTTAGGGTTTTCTGATTGTCGATCTATGATCTTGTTCTTGATATAGAGGAAATGCGGTAATGGGGGAGAATTACATAACCGGAATGATTAGTTCTGGTTTAGGGCTTTAGTGTTGAAAGTTTGTGTTTTGACTCGTGATCGATATTATCAGCTTTGATTTTCGATATGATCGAGATTTAGTAAAAGTATCCCATTTCTGTGAGCAACGTTTGTTACACTGGTTGTAGTAGAAGAGAGATCTCATTGCTTTGGTTTTTTTTTTTACTTGACAGGCTCAATTTTCTACCAAGTTTCTGAGAGGTTTATTCATATTCGGCACTCTCTTGTTTTAGAAACTCAAGAAATGCTGGAGGATGTGTCCTCCTATCACTAGGGCATTAGCTGCTCGAGCTCATGAGGTTATGATGACTCATGAGCTACCACAAACTCTGAGCTATCTCTGGAGCAACTAGTGTTTTTTTTGGGAGCCTGATAAGTTTGTAGATTAGATGGAAAATAAGCCAAGTGTCTTGACTGATAAATATGATGTTGGGAGGTTATTGGGTCAAGGTACTTTTGCCAAGGTCTATTATGGAAGGAGTATTCTTACTAACCAGAGTGTTGCTATCAAGATGATCGACAAGGAAAAGGTTATGAAAGTTGGGCTCATCGAACAGATCAAGAGAGAGATCTCTGTTATGAGGATTGCTAGACACCCTAACGTTGTGGAGCTATATGAGGTCATGGCAACAAAAACAAGGATCTACTTTGTTATGGAGTATTGTAAAGGTGGAGAGCTTTTCAACAAGGTTGCCAAAGGGAAATTGAAAGATGATGTTGCTTGGAAATACTTTTATCAGCTTATCAACGCAGTTGATTTTTGCCACAGCCGAGAGGTGTATCATCGTGATATCAAGCCAGAGAACCTATTGCTGGATGATAATGAGAATCTCAAGGTATCTGATTTCGGGTTAAGTGCCCTTGCTGACTGCAAGCGACAAGATGGCCTCCTCCACACTACTTGTGGTACACCTGCATATGTTGCTCCCGAAGTGATCAATCGAAAAGGCTATGATGGCACTAAAGCAGATATTTGGTCTTGTGGGGTGGTTTTGTTTGTTCTATTGGCAGGCTATCTACCTTTCCATGACTCAAATCTGATGGAGATGTACAGGAAGATAGGAAAAGCAGATTTTAAGGCACCAAGCTGGTTTGCTCCAGAAGTACGGAGGCTGTTGTGTAAGATGCTAGACCCTAACCCTGAAACAAGAATCACCATCGCGAAAATCAGGGAGAGTTCTTGGTTCAGAAAAGGTTTACATATGAAACAGAAAAAGATGGAGAAACGAGTCAAAGAGATGAATTCTGTGGAAGCTGGTGCTGCAGGCGGTTCAAATGAGAACGGAGCAGGTCCAAGTGAGAATGGAGCAGGTCCAAGTGAGAACGGAGACAGGGTCACCGAGGAAAACCAAACAGACGAACCTACAAATTTGAACGCTTTTGATTTAATTGCCTTGTCTGCTGGGTTTGATCTGGCAGGACTTTTTGGAGATGTGTTTAACAAGCGAGAATCTAGATTCACATCCCAGAAACCTGCTTCAGTGATCATATCTAAGCTGGAGGAAGTAGCACAACGATTGAAACTGAGCATAAGAAAGCGGGAAGCAGGTTTGTTCAAATTGGAACGATTAAAAGAAGGAAGAAAAGGGATTCTATCGATGGATGCAGAAATATTTCAAGTGACGCCAACCTTTCATCTAGTGGAAGTGAAGAAGTCTAACGGAGATACTCTGGAGTATCAGAAATTAGTGGCAGAGGATCTTAGGCCTGCTCTGTCAGATATTGTATGGGTTTGGCAGGACGAGAAAGATGAGCCTGCTTCACAGCGAGAGACAGAACAACAAGAACAACAAGAGGAAGAACCATTGTAGTTTTGATATTTGTTCTTGTCAAGTTTTGAATTTTGCTCAACACTGAATCACTGATGTTAAACGTATATGAGTTTCTTACATTTTTCGTTTGTGAAAAAATGGAATCCTAGCATAATATAAAGAAGAAGTCGTTTAATGAAACTCAATGGCAAGACTTTTGAATTGGGAACTTCAATTGCTTTCTCTATTACAGGAAGAACATGAACCTAATAAGCATCCTCCATTCTTTTTGAAACTGGGATGATAAAGACTTGGACTTTATTGAAATTTAGTAGTGAAGACAAGATCTATAGTACAGTACAGAGACAATATGTGAATTTGGTGCTGTCCATTGCAATTCAATTACACAGTTACAGACAATAGAGACAGAGAGACATAGAAGAGAGTAACAAAACTCAAGAAGAGCGTTTGGAAACAGAAGAGAGATTGTTCCAGAGATAGCGACCACTTGCCATGTCAACGCATGTCCAAAATCCAGACTTCATTGCCATTCCCACCTGACCCCATAAAATCAGAAAACCCCATTAATCCCCAAATTAGAGAGAGAATGAAGATCGGATGAAAAAGAAGAAACCTTGGAGAATCCGGAGACTGAGTCGTCGTCGGCGGGTTCAGCGTCGGTGAAGGAATCGTCGAGAGGATCGTCAGAGGTAGAGTTGAGCTTCTGGAGGACGAAGAACCCAGCGAGAGTCGCTGAAAGGAATATGAGGATAAGCCTTAATGGACACATCTGCTTCTTCTTCTTCTTCTTGATTTGCTTTTTCCAGTTTTTTTATGAAGGCAAAATCAAGAGAGAGAGAGAGAGATGGAGGAGTTGATGAAGAAGAAGAGAGAGAGATAGATGAGGAGGGAAAAAAAAAAGGTAAATAACAAAAAAAAAAAAAAAGTACAGTAAGACGAGAAAAATTCAAAGGGTGTAGTTGAAGAAGTGTCAAATTAGGAAGGCCATTCCCTAAAGTCATCTCGAATTTTCAATTTCATATACCTAATAACCTTAGATTTCTATTTCATATTTGAAGTTAACTTCTTTTTTTTTTTTCTTGTGTAACATTATTATATTCCGACAGAAAAATAATTTGGCCTACTATCATTTTTTGTTGACTAAAGGAAAAAGTTAGTGGTTTGGGCAAACCTAATCTGTCAGAACGTGAAGAAAGCATTTTAATATGCTCATTGCTAAGTGATGGCTTTGACAAACAAAAAGATAATAAGCAAATAAAAACAAAAGTGATTGTTGACAGTTTTCACTAACTTAGTCGGATCATCATCGTCACACCCATTCACCATCTCTTCCTTATCTCAACATTTTGATTTCTCCCTTCTCTTCCACAACACATATCCTTTATTTTGCCATAAAGAAAAGACAAGCCAAGTAATTCTTTATTAGGATCTGAATCTTGATTGATCATTATTACTATGGAAAGGGTTAAGAGACAATCCTGACCTTGGTTTTGAGAATCTAGAACTTTGCAAACTTTGCAATTTTAGCAAGGGCAGTTCTTAAGCTTCCTATGCCTGCTCCTGATCTTGAGCTCACCATCATCTGCAATCATTAAACGTTAACCACTTGCTTCTTAGGTCTCATCTTTTACTGCAGCCATAGAGAAGTAGTAAACAACAAACTAGGTGAATCATATTCATACATACCAGAGGCTGGACAATTGATCTGTTTGCCTTCAACTTCTGCATTTTTTTAAATGTTGATATTAGTAAGAACATGACCAACAGATTATTTTTTTATTCATTGCCTTCACTATATTCATTTAGAGTATAATGACTAAGACCTCTTCGATTTGCATTGCCCGACGTGCCACATCCATTGGAAAAACCACATCTGTCTTGGTTAAGACTATCTGATACTTTGTATTCGATCTGCAATTCAGTTTTCAGCTGTAAGGACACTTAATTACACCGACATAAACAAAAAATAAGAGCAGCATCGATGATTTTACCTCTCCATTAGATTAATAAGTTCCTGGTCTCTTGGCTTCATACCCCATTTGGTGTCAACAAGGAGGCATACCCTTTTCAGACTAGTTCTTGTCGAAACATATTCCTTTACCTGCATTGATCAAATTTAAACAGATGGGGATCATTGACCTGTTTAGTAATACACAAAACTGAGCAAGTAAAATAGACATTAAAAATTCTCTAGCCAGGGGCAGATGCTCACAAGATCTTCCCATGCTTCCTTAACTTCATCTTTTGCAAAGGCAAAGCCATAGCCTGGCAAATCAACAAGGCGAAGCTTCGGACCAAGACCAAAGAAATTGATGGTCTGCACTTAATAAACCCTTTGTTATTACAGAAATATGTATGCCATACAAGCAAGTAGTTCGCAGACAGGGGAATACCTGGGTCAGTCCCGGTTTGTCAGATGTTCTTACAACACCCCACTGTCTGGTAAGGGCATTTAGCAGAGACGATTTGCCAACATTTGACCTTCCTGATCAGAGTTAAGACACCAAATATTCCCAATTTTTAATATAAGTTTGGTGTTACTAAAGTAGTTTAACATGCATACTCTAAAACTCAGAAAATGTTTCTTGTTGATATTTCTATGATCCTGGTGGGAACAACAATTTGAACGCAGTACCTGCAAATGCAATTTCAGGTACATCAGGAGGTGGAAATGAAGATGAAACATTTGCAGCAGCAAAGAATTCCAGTTTATTCCTAAATACCTGCAAATGGGCAATTGCAACATTAGCTTAATAGTCTAGCAGAGAAGGCTTATTATCTTGAGGTATTAGTGGAATGAAGACTAAGAACATACACTTTCTTCTATACGTTCTCTCTCTGTGCTGGTTGACTGAGGAATATTATCTAATGGAGCAGGAAGCTCTGTGTTGTAGCCGGCCTTCTTTAGCTCAATTAAACGTCTACGCCCCAACAGCTGTAGTAAAATGTATGTTATCAGCCAGGTAATGAAAACATCACGTAAGACACCATAAAGGAGATAGTCATCTAAATTACATTTTCTTCCACATAGGAAAGGATCGAATGACTAGGCTGAATTGCACGAAACTGTGCATTTTTCGACATTTCTACACTTTTCACTGCATCTTTTTTGTTCTTTACTCTAAGGCCTTCTGAACAAAGGAAAAGAAACAGCACATTAGGAAAGCAGCAAAGAGATGTAGCCGGTGAAACAGTTTCAAGAAGCACAGAGAACTAACCATCAAGAACGACATCGTCATCTATTCTTTTATTTGAGGTATCATAGGGATCCAGTCGTATCCTCTTTCTCTTCCTTGGTTTATCCTCCTGAATATCTGAACCATCTCCCACAACTCTCTTCTCTGAAAACGCTTGTTTTCTAGCCTTAAAAGACTGCACATCTGAGCTTTTCCTTCGGCTCACATCTGCATTATTATCCAAATCATCTCTCTTCCTGTAGCTCTTTCGAGTAGCATCATCTCCCCTCGGTGACTTTGTTTTAAACACACTTGTTGCAGCATCAGTAGAGGTCTTAAAACTAGAAGTAGACCGTTGGTTTCTCTTTGAGGCAGCCCACATGGTGCGTGGGATTTCGTTCACATGGTTATGCTCAGCCTTATTGGGGTAGACCCTCTTCTTCTTCAAATAGGAAACCGTAGTCTTACTAGTCTTCCGAGAGTTAGTGTCATCATCACTGCGTTGAGTAATGGATCTACTCCTTCCTTTATAAGAAGGATTGGAGCTAAGTGATGAAAGCTTCAGCCTTTTCTTGAGCTTATGACCTAAAGCACTATCTAAAGACATTCGATGATAATGGTGCTGAAGCAGAACAGCAACTGTGGAGCTACCAACTTAAGACAGCTGCAAATAGTTACACAGAGCAATAAGGCCAAGTCAGATTGCAAAGCCAATCAAATTGTCAGCTTTTTCCACAATTCAAACACAACCCATAGTTTCCGTTTCTGTTCTAGTTAAAAAGCGCCTGTCAATTTAATTCAGAGAGTTTGGAGGATTGAAGACGAAACAGAGAGAATCAGAAACACTTTCTAGTTTCGGTTTGAAAAACAAACCTCTCGGAGACAATGTCGAAGAAACAGAAGAAAGAAGCTTCGTTCCCTTTGCGACGAACGCGATCAGAAAGAGGCTTTGGATAAATCGAAAGAAATGGGATTCCCCAGGGTTTAGTTGTTTGTTGATGCTCTGCCCTCTTGAGGGTTTTGGAGCTAATGTCTCTTATTGGGCTTTATCTAAGTGATTATTGGCTTTGTTGGGCCCGCGATGGTTTGTTGAAGGAGTGATTTATTGGTACCAGTGTTAAGTTGACTTTTAATCTATATTAGTATTTTTTAAGGACATTTTGTAACGGATGGATTAAAAAATCATCCGAGATTTTTGATATCCGATCCAATATATTCTCGGAAAACTCGATGCCAAAACCACCAATGCATAATGTTATACAACTGCAAAAGAACAAACATCACATTTCTAAGCATATGATTCATGTTTTAAAATTTGAAATATGAAAAACTTACCTATTACCAGCTTGTGCAAGATAAACAGCCTTCCCACACATTAATTCACCTTTCATTTTTAGAGCCTATACACAACAAAGTAAGTTGTGGTTAGAAATGGGATAAATTTACTAACGAAAGCTCAAAGGTTTCAGATGTAAACTCACCATTGTTGCTTCTGAAGGGGTTGCGAACTCAACCGAGGCCTCCTTGTTGATTGTCACCTTCGTAGGATTGACAGTGGCGTTAAAAAAAGTCCCTCCTACAAACAAGTTCGAATGAATTAAACCTTACATATGAGCAACAACATGGATAACTGACGGAAAATAAATAGGCTACTTACATATTATAACTTGTAATGTTTAGATCTAAATTTAAAGCACAAATCATCCTAAGCACATAAAGACCTTCAAACTTTGAATCAGAGTTGCTTGTTTTTTGTGCTCTTTCTTATCAAATCATCCTTAGTAGGAACATATACTCCCTGAAAATAAACATTTTTAAATTAAAATAAACGTATATATGGAGCTATTGAAAAAATACATTTACTCACAAATCATTTCCAAGGACGTAAACTCAGAAGAATGTCAATCATTACGCCATTGGAAGCTTTCATCAATAAACAAATGATGTTCTTCTCGAAAGCTTCAAAATCATCTTCATTATCACTCTTGGCTCTGCACGTCTACAACTTGTATATGAGCCTAGTTTCCGAAAGAGAGTAAATCCCTAAAAGAATCTTCAAAAGTTTTTCCACTAGCTGTCTTGAAACTATGATGATCTTCATATATTTCAGATGTTTTAGCATGAAAGACATACTATTTTTCATTTTGTCCAATCGTATTCATGGTAGTAGAAAACCAGAATTAACACCTTCCATAATCATTCTATAACTCGAGAGATTTTTTGTACGATATTTTTTTTAATCTTTCAAATTTCTTTGGAATGAATTGAGATTTTATATTCTGTTTGATATTTAAAGTTTTAAAAAAAGAAAACAAATTCTCTCAAATTTATCATTATCCCTCAAAATGTTTTGCATTTCTAAAAGATATTGGTATAGCGAGAAAAATAAACAAATAAACAACCTATGTTCAAAAAATAATATCTTTGATATTTCTAGCTGTAAGTGAGAACATGTATTAGTGTTGATAAATAGTTTACAACTTTAGGATATTTTTCACTTAAATTCAATATTTTAGATAACTTACCACTATAGCGTGGATGATCCATAAATTCAGATAAACGCTACAATTTTGAAATTACAAATGCAAATTCAAAAAAATAGAAAGTAGAAAAATATTTACCTTGTAAGATAAACATGACGTCCACACAAATACTACCCTTTCAATTTCATAGCCTAAGTACTAAAAAAAAAAAAACTAATCTGTTGTTTGAAAGAAAAAGAAATATTAAATATTGTACAAATGAAATGACAACTTAAATTATCTCTTGTGTGTCTGTGAGAGAGTGAAACAAAATCATTGTCATGCATTTCTTTTTTGAGTTTCACCTTAGCTTTGACAATGAATTCAAAATTATTATTTTTTTTGTTGCAAACAAAGGATACTTGTTAGGCCATTAAAAAAAGCAAGATAAATATATAGTGAATATGCTGCTTAGTGTTTACATATGATCTTTGGTAATTTCTAAGCCAAATTTCTCGGACAAAGTTTCAATGGCTCAACAAAACCTTCAAACTCAGGTTCCAAACTATTCGAAGATCAATTAGAAAATGGAGATGGTTCCTTTTAAAACATTTAAAATTACAAATACTTCAGATTTAAAAAATCACTTATAAGTCAATGAAACTTTTCACCAAAGAGAGTGTGGAGTCCACGTCAAAATTGTGGGATCCATGATTACCCGATCCGACCACAATTAACTGGTTAAGCGAACTATATCAATTTCATAAATCTCTGTTAGTTTCTTTAGAAAATTCTTGATTGTGAAATGAAGAGAGGTGAGATTTAAGGGACATATAATGATTGTCATTACCCATTACAAAAGAAATACTAGTCTTGACATGGAAGCCACTCATTTCTTTTGAATGCTTCAAAGAGCCAAATCAATTAAACACTTTTTCTTTGATTAACATCTTTATCTGTTGTAAAAGAGACAAAGCATAAGAAAAGAAGAGAGTGGATGGACCCTCTAGATTCAGATTTAATCCCTTTAGTTTATCTTTAACTTCATTTTGCTTTCTTTCTTTCTGTTTTTGACAGAGCTCAAAAAAAACTTTGAGAAATGAAAGAGATGAATCAGAAAATGGGGGCTCACAAGTTCAGATTTTCAGACATTATGCCTCATTCATGGATCTATAAGCTCAAAGGGATGAGTAGAAGTAGCAGAAAACACCATCCTTCTTCTCCCAAACACCTCTCTTCCACTGATGCTTCTTCCTCAAGAAAGCTCCGTGACCCTCTTCGACGTCTTTCTTCGACTGCTCATCATCCACAGGCTTCTATTTCACCTCCCAAATATTCTTCTTTCAAGAGAAAAATGAAACGTAAAACCGTTTACAAGCCTTCCCCAAGGCTCAAGCTCTCTACCTCTTCCTCTCTAAATCATCGCTCTAAATCATCATCCTCTGCAAATGCAACGTCTGATTCCGCCGTTGGAAGCTCCTTAGATCGTGTATCATCTCCTTCTGACCAAAACTTTGGCTTTTACCATGATCCTGAACCGCATTCATCAATTGACATTAAGGACGACCGCTCTGTGAGGAAGCTTGATGATGTATCTAAAGATCCTTCAATCTCACCAAACTTGAGTCCTCTTCGGGTTGAGACTGCAAAGGAACCGCCCTTTGAGATGATGACACAACAGAAACTGAAGAAACCGAAAGCTCGTTGTTCAGGGATAAAGATTCGGGCAAATTCCCCAAAGATCGCGAGAAAGAAGATAAAGGAAAGAACGTCCCCGGTGTCGAAGAATGTAAAGAGCTTTGCGATAGTTCTGTCTTCGGTGGATCCTGAGAAAGATTTCAGAGAATCCATGGTTGAGATGATCATGGAGAACAAGATGAGGGAACAGAAAGACCTGGAAGATCTTCTCGCATGTTATCTTTCGCTGAATTCGAGCGAGTATCATGACGTTATCATCAAGGCTTTCGAGAAAACATGGTTACATCTGACTCAAGGACTCTCCCTCTCTCTCTGAGTATATCATGGTTACATGTTCCAATCGCTTCCATTTTTCTTTTCTAGTTTTAATGGTTAATATTACAGAGGAGTATGTTCTGTTTTGAGATCATGTGTACAAAACAAAAGACAAAGGAAAAGATAAAACGAGCTAGGCTCTGTTTACTGTTCCGGCTCAGCCATAAAACATTGCTTAAAATAATTAACCAAAATAAGGCCTCGAAAGTGTTAAGTCTTAAACTCATGTCACCTAAAATGGAAGACGAAGACTCCTCTGCTCCAACTTTTACCATCACTGTGGTAACAATTGGCAAAAACAAATATAATTCTCAGAGAGGGTTTCATTACTTATGACTTCCGATAAATTTCTTGGTAACATGATGCAAAATCCAGAACAGTATGGTTTAAGCATAAGTTAAGTTATGGAAATAAATAGCGGGAGTCAAAGGAAAAGACAAAGGTTTTATAACCTTTTTCATAATGTGGTTTAAGCATAAGTTATGGAAATAAATAGCGGGAGTCATAATACAAGTTTTCTTTTAAGTTAAACACACATAAACTGATCGATAAGACTAATATAGCAGGCAACGATAAAAACGACCAATATTAGTTGTTGTTGGTCAATATTGCTTCTTCACCATCCTCATCACTAAACGGCTCTTCATAATCCCCTTCACCAGTAAGCCATTCTAACCCAGGCTCCCTGCAATAACAATAGCAAAAATAACCACTAACATGATGACAAGTTACTTTGTTATCAAGATTCAATAATTAAGAACAAATTAATGTACCTGGGACGATATATTTGACCACCAGAAGTTTCATAGAATTCTCTAAATAGGCGCTTGTGAAACGCCATACGGCAAAGTTCACAACCTTTAAAGTTAGGATAGCCAACGTATTCTACTCTATGTCTAGCCATCACAACTTCAAGCCTCAACCCTCCCAAGTAACTACCATTGAGTAGTAACGCCTTCTCTGGATCTTTTCTGAAATTAATGAAAGCAAATCTGCAAAAAGCGAAAGAAAACAAAAAAGGTCAATCGTTTTGTTTGCATTTAACTTGAATTTGTCACAAATTGGAGGAAGAAGTCACAAACCCTAAGGGAGAACCGGTTTTACACTCTATGGGAACAAAAACCCTTGTGATCTTTCCACATGAACCGAAATGTGTTTTCAATGTGCTCTTGATATCATCCCTACGGAGGGAACAATCGAATCCCCTTACGAAAATGGTCTCCCGATTGTTTACCTCGGCATCTTTAATTTCAAAGCAGCACTCATATATCGGTTCCACCTTTTTATTTGAGGTTTCTTTCACCTATAGACAAAACAAGATTTCCTTGGACTAAACTGAGGAGGTTTAAATTTCTAAGAAATGCTTAAAATCAAACAATAGATCAGCTATAAAGTTTACAGTATCGCTTCACAATACACAAAATAAATAGTCCTAGAAAACACACATATAGAGTCGTAGAGGTTTATAATGTAAACATATAAATCAGCTACAAAGTTTACTTCACAACCTAGAAAACAAATAGAGTCACAGAAAAACACTTATACAAATATAAAAATAAACATATACCTTCAATAAAATATCCTCTAGATCAGCCTTTGTTAGTGAATTCTGCTGTAGTGTTATTTTGCTAATGTCGGACATCTCTTTCAACGGTGCGGATGTCAGATGGGTGACAAACAAGTGTCATTAACAAGAAGTGCGGATGTAAGAAGATAAAAAAACATTTGACTCACCTCACCTGAGGACTCGAGGGATTGAGAAGCGCAACAATTCTTGGCAAAAAGAAATCAGTGGAGAAGAAGAATCTCAACAACGCTTGGGAAGATACAAAAATATTGATTCCTGCAGGTGTAAGGAATGAAGACATACCTACCAAACAACTATAGATCATTTCGTCACAACCATTTGCCAATTTTTTTTTTTTTTTATCCATTTGGTATATCAGTGTAAACATTAAAAACAAGAATAATAGTCGAAACCTTGTACAAGCATTGAAGATTAATTTGAGTTTTGGCTCATGATTATGGATGGTACATATTTAATTATAGTTTATTTAACGGTTGGGTCAATGTTGGTCCAAAATTTGTCTGTCAACAGAGTGAATATTACTACGAGTCTACGACCCAATAAGAAAGTGAATACAAAGTGAATTTCGGTTGTTGAACAAAGAAAAAGAAAACACTACAGATGGCCCAAATAAATATTAGCCAACTTTTTCTTACGATCCAATAACGAATCAAATGCGAAGTTCTAATAATGCCAAAGCTAGGTCCAAACAAACTGTTAGCTAACATCAAGCTCAACATATTTCGTATCTGCCTAGAATTAATAAGCTATCCTAAAAATTAATAAAACATTACTTTGTCTCTTGTTTAACAAACTTTCATTTACGTATAGTAAACTCAAGTTGACGTTGTTAAAAGAAAAATTTCTGTTTGGCAAAAGTTTGACTGTTATCCACGAAATACTAATATTTGACAGGATTGATCATTCATCGCATATAATCAACAATTTTGATTCATTACTACAAATAAAGAACACACGTAGGGGATAGAGGCAAAATAAGTCGGTTAATCTTTTTAGAAGCTAAGAGATGATGATACTGTTTACAATTGTCACTGATTTGTCACTGATTAAAAAAGCAATTAACTTCTTCAACTCGCCCCATTATATACACAAAAAAAGTCGTCGCCTCACATCATATCAGACCTAAAACAGATATAAAAGCACAATGAATATCTTAATGCAATTATTCACATAAATGAATATATAAACTTACCTTGAACACAATAACTTATTTGATCAAACGATTATGACGGGCAAGTCTGATGAACCCTTTCTCGCCATGACTTTCTCCACCAGTCTCCTGGAGTTCCCAAAAATCTACTCCATCTTTGGTGGTATCATGACTTGATAAGAAAAGGCCATGATACGGGACTTTCTCCAAGTGCTTTCTGATCTAAGTCAGCTTTAGTAGGAACATATACACCCTGAAAAAAAACATCTTCAAAATTTTCTCCACTAGCTGTCTTGAACCTATGATGAATCTTCATATTTTCAGATGCTTTAGCATGAAAGACATACTATTTTTCATTTTGTCTAATCGTATTCATGATAGTTTAGAGCGGGAATTAACACATTCTATAATTATTCTATAACTCGGGAGATTTTTTGTACGAATTATTTTCTAATCTCTCATATTCTTTTGAATGTATTGAGATTTTATTCTCTATTTGATATATAAAGTTGAAAAAAAACAAAATCTCTCAAATTTATCATTATCACTCAAAATGTATTTTGCATTTTTTAAAAGATATTGGTAGCGAGAAAAATAAACAAATAAACAACCTATGTTCAAAAATTATTATCTTTGATATTGTTCTAGTTGTATGTGAGAACATGTATTAGTGTTGGTAAACAGTTTACAACTTCAGGATATTTTTCACTTAAATTCAATATTTTAGATAGCTTACCACATGGTTGACCCATAAATTTAGATAAACTTGAGATAAAAGCTACAATTTTGAAATTACAAATAAAAATTCGAAATAATAGAAAGTAGAAAAATGTTTACCTTGTTGGATACCTTGTGAGATAAACATGACGTCCACACAAATACTCCCCTTTCAATTTCATAGCCTAAGTACCAAAAAAATTCAATCCGTTGTTTGAAAGAAATATAAATCTATATATACATTATCAAAGTACGTTTGACAAAAAAAAACCATGGGCCTTTGAATGTCATTGGATTTCATTCTTAAGATTTGAAAAATTTAATAAAAAATATTAACTAAACGATTTCGATCCTAAATTCTCTCTTAACTTACTTACCTATATTTGATCAATTGCTGATTACCATGTGGTTTGTATTAATTATTACTATAATCTATATTGATTAATCAAATCCCAACAATTTACTCTTTAAAATAACTATCTTCCCTTACATAGAAAGATTTGGTTACGACATTGCACAAACAAACGATTTATAGTAACAAATAAAGTATTCATCGTAACGAAATCGTCGGATATTCCTAAACAAAGACGATTACATAGATTTTATACCAATTGTGTTATGGTATCAAATATATAATTTTTGGCTACCAAGATCGTTTTTTACCTACCTTAGTCTACTATAAATACTCTATGCAATTGCGTCTTCTCGTATCATTAACCACACGAATCAACTATTTCCTATATCGTGAAAAAAACCATAGTCCATTTACCTATGAAATTGTTGAATAAATATGTAAAAAATAAAAAAGGGCAAGAATTGACTGACACCTCCATCAGCCCCGAACCCAACGCTCAACGAGATATTTTATGCGTAATTAGAACTCAGAGAGAACAAGTTTAGTGTACGTCTTGCCCGGAAGCACCTAACACTATGCCACAACGTATATATTCAAGAGAAAAATCAAACTTAAAACCGTTTACAAGCCTTCCCCAAGGCTCAAGCTCACTACCTCTTCCTCTCTATATCATCGCCTTAAATCATCATCCTCTGCAAATGCAACCTCTGATTCCGCCGTTGGAAGCTTCTTAGATCGTGTATCATCTCCTTCTGACCAAAACCTTTACCACGATCCTGGAAGACAAAGATGATTAACGGTTCGAATGTCGGGAGAGTGACAAACACGTGTCATTAACAAACAAGTGCGACCGATGTTAGAAGAGAAAAAACAACATGGTTTACATTTGTTGACTCGAGGGAGAAGCGCAACAATTCTTGGCAAAAAGAAATCAATGGAGAACTTGGGAAGATACAAAAGTATCCTACCTGCAGGTAGGAATGAAGACATAACAGATACCTACCAAACAACTATAGATCGCAACCGCCCAATCAGCAAATTAGGTCAAAGTTCTCATTAAGTCGATTATAAGTAATTGAATTTTCAACTTAAAAATTTAATTTCATAATATAAGTTCAACATTTGATTTAGGCATAAATTATGAAACTAAATATCAGCAAGAGTCCACATAATACAAGTTTTCTTATAAAACATAAGAAGATAAACAAGTAGTAGCTTGTCGATAAACAACAGTAAAACGACCATTCTTAGCTCTGTTTTTCTGCTTCAACTTCTTCCGTTAAAGCGAGGCCCCATTTAGCAAGGATCCAATTAGGTGGCCTGCAATATCAGGAGCAAAAAATAACAACTATATAATGACAAGTTACCTTCTTAACTAGGGTTCAATAATCAAGAACAAATAAACGTACTTGGCCATCATACGACCACCACGAGTTGCAATGAATTGGTCATGGAGGTACTTCCTTTGAGTAAGGACACAACGTTCACACCCTTTAAAGTTAGGAAAGAAATCAGAACTGCTTCCAGTATTATTCTTCACAACCCCAAGCTGCATACCTCCCAAGAAACTACCATCGAGTGCTAATGCCTTCTTTTCATCATTTGGATTATAGTATTTAATGAGAGCGCACCTGAAAACAAAAACAAAAACAAAAAAAAAAATGTAAAATTTTTCGATTGCATTTAACTTCAAGTTGTCAAATTAAATTGGAGGAACAAGTCACAAACCCAATGAGAGAACCGGTTTTACACTCTTGTCGGAACAAAAACACTTAAGATATGTCCACATGAACCGAAGTGTTTTCTCAATGCGCTCCTGATATCAGCCACAGGAAGGGAACAATCTAATCCCTGAACGAGAATGCTTCTGTAACTGTGTCCATATGCAGATTTATTTTCGAAAATGCATTTATATTCTTCCACCTTTTTTTATTTTGGATCAAAAACAAAGACATTTTCAATAGTAGGTTAATATTTTCTGGTTTATAAGAAAATACAAAGCTCTTAAAAATACTACTGAATTCAATAAAAAAAAAGTACAGAAGCTTAAGATAATATTACCTTTTTTTGCTTCTTCGGAAATACTTGCTGCTCCAAATCATCTGGCTCTTTCTCATAAATAAAAATAAATAACACAAATCCATATAAGCAGGTGTTCTTCTAAATAAGACATATATACAAATATCAAACAATCTATATTCAGACTTATAATTCATATAATCAAGATTGCAAGACAATATATACCGGTTTTCTTCAATTATAGAATGCATAAAACGAAACCAAGAAAAAAAAAAGAAGTGTGTAGCAATCAAGATCTTACCATTCTGCGACGGCTCTGTGGTAGCTTCGACCTAGAAAAAAAATCCGAAACAGTATTAAAGACTGAGTAAGAAAGAAGAAATCAAAATTGGTTAATTAAAGACTGAGTAAGGAAGAAGTTCATAAGGAGAAAAGGATTACATCGGTGGATGTGGAACATTTCAAAAGTCT